TAATGCTGACTGGAATTCTCTTGGCCACCCTTTGTGAGGGGTACCTGTCCCCTGAAATACAGGTCACTGAGCATCGCTACATTTAGTGAGTGCTGCGTAACAGACCACTCAAGATGCAATGACTTAAAACAATAACCATTCCTTTATTATTCTGGCGGCTCTGGGGATTGACTGGGCTCAGCTAAGCAGCTCTCAGGGGCTCTAGTGCAGGTGCCATCAGGCAGTGGTTGGGACGGGGTCATCTGAGGGCTCATTCACTCCTCTCTGTAGCACCTTGGATGGGGAGACCCAAACAGCTGGGGCTCCCAAGCATGTCTATCTCTCGGTGTATCTCCAATGTGACGACTTCAGGGCAGCCAGACTTACATGGTGACTCAGGCCGTGGTGTGCTGGAGCTGGCTCGCACCGGATCCTGGAAGCACGTTGTGGACAGCTCTTTCCAACGCCAAAGTCCAGGGACGTCGTGTTGGTAGCTTGCTGTCAGCCATGGAAGGTGTATTCACACCACAGAAATCAGCAAATGTTACACACCCAGAATCTTTTCTTTTTTTCCCCTACAGAGCCAGTTGTTAAACGTTTTAGGAGCACACCACTGGACTCACGGCTCCCCATGCATGCATCCCCAGAGAGTCAGGCAGAGGCTGTATCCTCTTTCCTGACCCAGCCTCTGAAATCCCTTAGCAATATCACTTCTACAATGCTCTGAAAGGCGAAACAATCCCAAAGGCCTGCCCATGTCAAGGGGAGGGCTGTGGACGCCACTCCTTAATGGAGAATGACCAATTCCTGGAAAAGAGCACATCAGTTTGCATACGTTGTTATAACCATCTGGGGAAGATGTCTGCCATGCATCACAGGTCCCTGGAAACTGAATATCAGTAGCATCCCCCAGTCACTGTGACAACCAATACAATATCCTCCCCACCAAACACACACACACACACACACACACACTCCCGAACACCCTAGCAGCAGGCAGCGCCGTGCCATTCTGACCCAGCCAGTCGTTGGCATTCAGCCGTGTTGGACATGTTGGCTACAGGGCACCTCGTGGTCCTCAGGAGAGCATCACACACAAGCATTTTGAATACCCAGGGCTCGTATGGTACATCACTTGAAGGTCCTTGCCCCTCAGTGAAGTCTGGCTGCCCTCGTTGTGTGAGGGGACCACCCCCAGCTCCAGGGATCCCCTGTTTGCCAGTGATCGGCACACATCCATACCGGGCAAGCTGGTGGATTCGCTTGTAAATTGCAGCTAATTATTAATGCAGCTAATAACCACCTGGGGCAAAGCACACCCTAGTCTCTAAAGCGTGTCTCCACAACTTCAGTTCTCTGTTGTGGGGGTGAAGGGGAATCGGGCTTTGTGCCACGTCCACGGATCACTGGCTTGATAGAGCCTTAATCCTTAACAAGACCTTAATCAATTTATTTCAAAATAGTAACCGCTGACATGAATGGAGCACTTACTGGCATTAGATAGTATAACAAGCATTAGATCATTGAAGCCTCTTAACCCAGGGCAACCTCCAAGGATTGTTTTGGACATTAAAACACGATGATGGGATTCAGTGCGATGATCCAGCTTAAATGCTCGGTACGGGTGGTTTAGTCAGGGCTCAGTAAATGTCACCAGATGAAAATATTGTAGCTAAATCGTTGCTCACCAGCTTTTTATGGTGTGTAATAATAATAGCAACTAACATAATTTAGTGTCTAATATTATATCAATACCACTTTTATTTATGAAACACCAGCGATTATTTAAGCGCTTTACAAATAAATATTAATTCGTTTCATCCTCACAATAACCCTATGAAGTGGGTAAGGTTAACATCCTCATTTTCAGAAGAGGAAACTGAGGCATAAAAAGTTGAAGTGATTTGCCCTTGAGGCAAGAGGCTTAGCTGGGACTCAAACCCAGGCTGGCTGGACCCAGGCATGAGCATTTCATCACTAAGCTCTTCTGCCCTGATGGGGAAATGAAATGCGTTTCTCACTAGGTCTTGAGCTATTCACTGAGTTCTTGTTAAATAAAGGTGTTTCACCTTGCTATGCCTCAGTTTGCTCATCTGTGAAATGGGTTTCTTTAGGGAAGAATAAAGTAAGAAAACGGGAAGGAGGAGGAGGTGATGGTCATGAGGCCCTGAAATTGTAAATAATGTGGCCAGGGACAGTCTCATGGAGAAGTTGACATCTGAGCAAAGATTGAAGGGAATGTGGAGGTGAGCCAAGAAATGCTCTGGTTCCAGGTGGAGGAAACAGCCTGTGCAAAGGCCCTGAGGTGTGGAGGCCGGTGTGGCTGGGGCAGAGTGAGTGAGGGGGAGATGAGGGCAGGGAGGTGATGGGTACAGATCGTGTGGGGCTTGTGGGCTGCATTGAGGACCTTGCCCTGACCCTGAGTGAGGTGGAGCCACAGGAGGGCTCTGAGCAGGGCAGGGACAGGACCTGACTCAGGTGTTCACACCTGACAGCTGGGGAAAGGAGCAGGGAGACAGTAATGGTCCAGGTGAGAGGTGATGGAGAATAGAGGAGGTTCAAAGGCTCATCCCTGGGACTTCCCTGGTGGTGCAGTGGTTAAGAATCTGCCTGCCAATTCAGAGGACACGGGTTCGAGCCCTAATCTGGGAAGATCCCACATGCTGCAGAGCAACGAAACCCGCACACCACAACTACTGAGCCCGCGTGCCACAACTACTGAAGCCCACACACCTAGAGCCCGTGCTCCGCAACAACAGAAGCCACCTCAACGAGAAGCCCATGCACCCCAACAAAGAGTAGCCGAGTAGCCCCCGCTTGCCGCAACTAGAGAAAGCCCATGCGCAGCGACGAAGACCCAACGCAGTCAAAAATAAATAAATTTGTTTTTTAAAAAAAGACCGATCCCTGACACTGAAATCAGAGGGAGGAGGAAGGAACAGCTGAGGAGACCGACTAGGAGCCACAGGCAGACGGGAGGGGTCCAGAGAGACATGCTGGCCCAGAGCCAAGTGAGACGAGCGTCCCCTCACTGTGTCAGGTGCTGCTGACGGGTCAAGCAAGGTGAGGATTGAATAGTGACTGCTGGCTCAGCACCAAGGGGGGTCATTGGTGACCTTGACATTTCAGGGTAGAGAAGGAGGGCAAAGTCTGACTGGAGAAGGTTTGAGAGAGAATATCAGTAGAAAATATGGAGGCAGTGAGCGTGACAACTTTTTGGAGAAGATTTACTATAAAGAGGAGCAAAGAAATGGGGTCAGAGCTGGAAGGGGAGGTGGAGTCAAGAGGAGTTTAATTTGTTTTCAAATGAGAGATGACTCTGTGCGAGCTGACGGGAACGATCCAGTGCAGAGGGGGAAGCTGAAGGTGCAGCAGACAGAGGGGAGAACTGTGAGACGGTGACCTGGGGTGGGCGCAGTCACGGTGGGAAAGCACAGTGGTACATGGGGCGGTGGGGGTCTCTGGATGTTCACTTCCCACCGATTTTAGTTTTTCTGCAAAATAAGAAGCAAGGAGGGAATTCCCTGGTGGTCCAGTGGCTAGGACTCCATGCTTCCACTGCAGGGAGCATGGGTTCGATCTCTGGTAGGGGAACTAAGATTCCTCCATGCTGCGCGGCGCGGCCAAAAAAAATATAAATGAGAAGCAAAGAGAGAGTGAAAAGGTGGAAGGAAGTGTGATGTGTTGGGGATAGGGGAGAAGGTGTGAAATAGTTATCTACAGAGAGGAAGAGCAAGAGGATAAGAGACATGTAATCTGATTGCCAGGCAGCACTGTGGGTACACTTGAGCATCAAGTGCACACACTTAAAGTGAGACCAGCCAGTGGAGTTGTGTGTTGTTCTTCAGCTGCTTTAAACTGTGCGGGTACAGGCACAGGTAGGTGGAGGGCTGGATTTAACCGGGGCACGCGTTGGAAGAAGCCAGAGGAGGCAAGGGTGTATGCAAAGAATGTTTTAAATGATTAACCAAGGAATTTAAGCTGGATAAGGAAGACTGAGGACTTGAGGGGGTATGGGTCAGTGAAAAAGAGGTAGGGACAAAGGATGGGAGATCATAGTGGGTTGGAAGGACTGTGTGTGTGTGTGGGGGGTAGGTCTAGGGCACTGGGGGGAGAGAGCTGGAAAGAGAGGAGGTGATGCGTGGGGAGTGAGAAGCCTGAGACTGAGGTTCTGAAGAGGCTGTGGTTACTGAGACAAGGTGTAGGTGCGACCACGGGATGGAGGGGCTAGAAGAACAGCTGGTCAGGGAACAAGAGAGGCCTGGTGGCAGAAGGAAGGATCGTCATCCTGGATACGGAAATCACCAAGAATGTTGATAAGAGCAGCTTGAGTGGCTGTGAGCCTGGAGCTAAAATCATGGAGAAGTGAGGGGTAGTCATCTGGGTCAGCAGATGATGACGACAAGGTGACAAACGATCTACCCTGATGATGAGATTCATAGCTGCGGCATTTGGGGGAGGATGGAGGGAGAATCTCTGGAAACAGCACCAGGGAGCAAGGAGATTTACCCACTTGGAAGGCCCACAGGACTGCTGGGTTCTGGTTAGAGCAAAAATGTGACAAGAATCTTCAGCGAGGAGATTGAAGAAATAGATTTTGCTGAAGGACAGGTCCTGGATTCCAAAGGCCCTAGAGTTGGGACAGGTTGGGGGATGGGATGGAAATGGTTTCCTCCTCGGTGGATTTTTCTCATGGGTCTTCAGTGTGCATATGGTCATATGTAAAGTGCTTAGCCAGACACAAGTGCACCGGCCAGAGACAGAAGTCGTGGATAACAGTCCTAGTGGGGTCGTGATCAGGCCAGGGGTTTGTTGCTTGAGGGGGAAAGGTGGGGAGAAACCGGTCCCCGTCCAGAGCCAAGTGGTAGGAAATAGATGCTGCATTTTCTTGGTTATGGCAGTCCCCCGGTCGCCCGTGTACCTGGTGAGGTCACGGTCAAGTCGCAGGGGACTTGCGTCCTGGAAGGAGAGGTGGAGGGAGGCCGGGCTGCTCTGACCCGCCGACCCCTCTCGACCTGCAGGACTCTGGCGGCCGGAGATGGGCGCCCGGCTTTCGCGGCGGCGGCTGCCCGCGGACCCGCCCATAGCCTTGGACGCGCTGCCGCCGGAGCTGCTCGTGGAGGTGCTGAGCCACGTGCCACCGCGAGCGTTAGTGACGCGCTGCCGCCCAGTGTGCCGCGCCTGGCGCGACGTGGTGGACGGGCCCACCGTGTGGCTGCTGCAGCTTGCCCGCGACCGCAGCGCGGAGGGCCGCGCTCTCTACGCGGTGGCCCAGCGCTGCCCGCCCAACAGCGAGGACGAGGAAGAGTTCCCGCTCTGCGCCCTGGCGCGCTACTGCCTGAGAGCGCCCCTCGGCCGCAACCTCATCTTCAACTCCTGCGGAGAGCGTGGGTGCCGGGTGCACGGGCTAGCAGCAGGGGCGGGAAAAAAGAGACCAAAAGGATGTGTGGCCTGGGGACCCCAGGCGAGGTGGAGTGAGTGGCCGCGGCCAGGGTGAAGCAGACAGGGGCGGGGCCGGGAGCCAGGGGACGTGGTCGAGGCTCTTGGGAAACTGGGTGGGAGGAGCCAGGGGCTGTGGGCCGTATAGCGAGCCAAGATGGCTGGGCGAGACAGAGCAGAAGGATCCAGGGGACTGGGCCGGGAAGCTATGCTTGAACTGTAGATTAGGTGGGCGCGGTTAAAGGGGGAGGAGCCCGGGGAGGCCTGGGGAGAAGCCGATTGGGTGCTGGCAGGGGCGGAGCTTGCATAGAAATATAAGGTCGTATTGAGAGGCTGTGGGGAGGGGAACTGAATGAGTGGGCGGGACCAAGGGAGGAGGGGCCCGGAAGCGGTGGTGTAAGGAGCCCGGGGCGGGGCCAGAATTGAAGCCCAGTAGTTTGAGAGTGAAGGGAGGCAGAACAGGGGGCGGGGCCTAGAGAGGCTGGGGAGAAGCTGAGTGGATGGGCAGGGCTGAGTGACGCCGTTGTGGGGTGGGACCACGAATACAGCCTGCTGGGAGGGAGGAGCTGGTGGGCGGAGCAAGCTAGGTGGTGGCGGGTTCTCTGCGGGGCGAGCTGGCGGGCGAATTCCTGGTGTTCAACCCTTTTGTATCTCACAGAGGGCTTCAGAGGCTGGGAGGTGGAGCACGGCGGGAATGGCTGGGCTGTGGAAAAGAACCTAATACTGGTGCCGGGCGCTCCTTCCCAGACCTGCTTCGTGACTTCTTTCGAGTGAGTGGCCCTTGATCCCTGGTGCGAGGGAGGGGGACTCTACCCTACCGTCCTCATCCTCACCCTCACCCACTTTCAGCCTCTCCTTCGCACATTCACTTGTTCAGTCCACCAGCTAATATTTGTTAAGGGCCTACCAGGTACCAGGCACTGTTTTACATGTCAGAGACACAAGGAAAATTCAGAAAGATCAGGAAACTGCTCTTTTTTCATTTGCATTTTAGATGTAGGGTTGGGGAAGCCATTAAACGCATAAACAGTAAAAAAAAAACAAAAACATAATAAACATTTAGAGGGCTTACTCTATGCCAGATGCTTTACATGTAAATTTTTAAATCCTGGCAATAACCCTATGACACAAATACCATTATTATAAATGGTGGATCTGGGATTCGAACCCAGGTAGTCTGACTTCAGAGCTTCTGATGTGGTAAATGCTGTGAAGACATGAAAACAGTTTGATTGGCTGATTCTCTATCCTCATACCCCATACCCATTTTCCTTGTGCCCTCCCCCCACAGTCAACCATTCTCGTGGCATCTAGCTTTCTAGTAGTTACCAGTATATTAGGGGTGACGGGATATCTCATTGTTATTTTAATTTGCATGTTTCAGTTTACTAATAATTAAACATCTCTTCATGTGCTTGTTAGCTTTTTGGATTCCCTCTTTTGTAAGTTGCCTGTTCATATTTTCTATTAAGGTTGATATCTTATTCTCGTTGATATACAAGAATTTCTTGTATATTCTAGCTGTCAGTCCCTTGTCCATCCTGGACATTATAGAAATCCCCCACTCTACCATCTGCATTAACTATGTCCATGTGTTATTTGGTATTTACATATGATCAAATTCATCTTTTTGCTTTAGAATTTGTTCTTTGAAATTTTGTTTAAAAAATCCTTCCCTACCCTTAGATCCTAACAGTGTTCTCTTATACTCTCTTCTAGTAACCTCATAGTTTTATCTTTTACATTTAGATCTTTAATCCACCTTGAATGTGATGTTCGGTAAGGATCCAGTTTTCTTTTTATCCCCCTCCTTATATTGAGCCAGTTTTCCCAACACCATCTACTAAAGAATCCTTCCCTTCCCCCATGGAATGGCGGTGCCACCTCTATCATTTATGAAGTTCCCATACAAACCTAGGTCTGTCCTTGAGCACTCTGTTCAGTTCTGGTCAGTTTATCAGTTCTTCTGATAAATCACTATTTCTGTTATTATGGCACATTGAAATTCGAGGAGAAGGACTGTTTACAAAGGTGCAGGCAGAACACAAGAGATACTACAGGACTCTAGGCTAGTAACAGTGGGGGGAAGGGACCTTACCACCCCTAGGCCTGGCAGGGGTAAGGGGAGGAAGCAATTACCGAAACATGAAGACAGAGAAGGCTGGGAGGAGAGGGCACTGTGGAGAGGGCCCTTTCGTTGAGAAATACAACAGTCCCACGATGATCCCTTGGGAGGGAGCCAGGAGAATAAATACCCTGATTTCACTCTCTTCTCCCTTCTATCTGCTGCTGGAGCTTCCCATTGGCTGACCCAACAGGAAGTAGAGGGTAAGGGAGACCCTTCCATACAGGCAACACAACCTTAGACCATGGGCCTCTTGGTGCTTGAGGAGACCCCAGAATTCTCTGCTCAGATGTCTAGTATGTGGGCCTCCATTTGTATTCATGTCCTGGTCCCCACAAATATTAGGGGCAGGCCTGCATACAGTCAGCCTCCTGGAGTCCACAGCAGAGTGAAGGGTGGAGGGGATCTGAGAGGCCAGTGGGGTTGCACAGCCCATCATACATCTTGTCTGGTAGAGCAACCCTGATGGGCTGCTTTAGACAGGGTAGTCAGGGGAGGCTTCTGGGAGGAGGTGATTTCTGGGCTGACTTGAATGATGGGACTCTCTACCCCCCCACCCACCCATCCTATCATCCCCCCTTCCTAGATGGTGCTTCAAGAGGCAGCTTGTGGACTTGGTGATGGAGGGTGTGTGGCAGGAGCTGCTCGACAGCTCCCAGATCGAGATCTGTGTGGCCGACTGGTGAGTGGAGAACCCCCCGTGGTGGCAGCAGTTCTGCAGAAGGGAGTCATTTCACACCCCCATCGACCCCACGGCTGGCACTGCTACTGTGCCCCCTTCATAGTGAGGCTGACAGAGGGGAAGCGATGCTCTCATAGTAGCAGAGCCAGGGAGGGGCGGAACTTTGGTGAGCCCAGAACCCCCAGATCCCTACACCCTCAAGCTCCTCCCCAAGGTTGTGGTTCCTCCCCAGAACACCATTACCTCCCCACCCCCGTCCATATACACCTGACCCACAGCCTCCTGAATCTGCCCCCAGGAGCACCCAGGCTCTTCCCCCAGGCCCTGGCTCCACCCCAGGGGCACCTAGGCTCCTCCCCCTAGGTTCCCAGGCCTAACCTCATCAAAGTGCAGGGAGGCCAGACCTCAGTTGCCCTCCCCAACCCAGAGACCTGAGCGGGTGGTGAGGCTATCAAGGCTCACTGCCACCCGGCAGGTGGGGTGCCCGGGAGAACTGCGGCTGCATCTACCGGCTCCGGGTCCGCCTCCTGGACATGTACGAAAACGAAGTGGTCAAGTTCTCGGCATCACCCAACCCGGTCCTTCAGTGGACTGAAAGAGGCTGCCGACAGGTGGGTCCAGACTACCTTCCCTCACCCAAAGGCACACCCACCTCTCACCCTGCTCAAATTCTGCTCTCAGCACTGCTGGGTATCTATAACAACAGCTAACAATCATTGAACCCTTATTACAGGCCTGCCCAAGAGTTTCACCCATTAATTCATTTCATTAGCACAATGGCCTCGTTGTTCAACAGACATTTTTGAGCACCTACTGTGTGCCTGCTATGCTCTAGTTGCTAGAAATGCAGCAGTGAACCGAAGTCCTTGCTCCATCCCCATTCTAGAGTTGGGGAAACTGAGGCATGGGAGGTTAGGTGACTGGCCCGAAGTCATCCTAAAGCGTGCAGGGCCTGATTCAACCCCAGGCTGGCTCCTGAGCCTAAACTGTCATGGTCATCATACCTCACTTACCAAAGTAACCTTTTAGGTGGTCTTTTGGTTTCCATTCCTGATCTCTTCCCACCCACCCCCAACCCAACACACAGACTCAGCATCCAGAAAGCTCCTATTAAAAAGTGAGTCAGGGGCTTCCCTGGTGGCGCAGTGGTTAAGAATCCACCTGCCAATGCAGGGGACACAGGTCCGAGCCCTGGTCTGGGAAGATCCCACATGCCGCGGAGCAACTAAGCCCGTGTGTCACAACTACTGAGCCTGCAGTCTAGAGCCCGCGCACCTAAAGCCCATGCTCCGCAGCAAGAGAAGCCACCGCAATGAGAAGCCCGAGTACTGCAACAAAGAGTAGCCCTCGCTCGCCGCAACTAGAGAAAGCCCGCGTGCAGCAATGAAGACCCAACACAGCCAAAAATAATAAATAAATAAAATAAGTTTATTTTTATTTTATTATATTATTTTTTTTGCGGTACGCAGGCCTCTCACTGCTGTGGCCTCTCCTGCTACGGAGCACAGGCTCCGGACGCACAGGCTCAGCGGCCATGGCTCACGGGCCCAGCCGCTCCGCGGCATGTGGGATCCTCCCGGACCGGGGCACGAACCCGTGTCCCCTGCATTGGCAGGCGGACTCTCAACCACTGCACCACCAGGGAGGCCCATAAATTTATTTTTTAAAAAAGGTGAGTCAGACCACGGATCTCACCTGCTTGTAACCCTTCCGTGGCTACATCTCAGAGCAAAAGCCAACATCCTATCGTGCAGCTATAAAAAGGAATGAAGTACAGATTCACACTTGAACATGCGTGAGCCTTGGAAACTGTGCTAAGTGAAACAGAGGCCAGACACAAAAGGCCACATATTGTATGATTGCATTTATATGAAATTTCCAGAATAAGCAAAGCCATAGAGACAGAAAGCAGATAGATTACTGGTTGCCAGAGGATAGGGGGAGGGAGGAATTGGAAGTGACAGCTAAGGGATTCGAGGTTTTCTTCCTAGGGTGATGAAAATGTTCCAGAATTAGATAGTGGTGATGACTGCATAACATTACGAATATACACACACACACAAACAAAAAAACCACTGAATTGTACAGTTTTAAATGGTACATTTTATGTTAGGTGGATTTTAGCTCAATTTAAAAAATTAAAGAAGATTAAAAAGCCAGAAGCCAGGGACTTCCCTGGCAGTCCAGTGGTTAAGACTCCACGCTTCCACTGCAGGGGGCGTGGGTTCAATCCCTGGTCAGGGGAACCAAGATCCCACATGCCAAGTGGCGTGGCCAAAAGAAAAAAAAAAAAAGCCAGAAGCCAGAGTCCTTCTGTGGCCGATCTCAAAGGCCCCACACGATCTGCCCGCTACCTCCCTGACCCCACCTCTTACTTCTCCCCTCACTCTGCTCCAGGCACACTGCCACCTCAGGGCCTTTGCACTGACTGTTCCTCTGTCTGGAACACTCCAGATCCCCACCTGGCTCCCCTGCCCCATCAAGCCTCTGTCATCTCAGTGGGGCCCTTGTTTTACAATCCCAGCCTCCTGCAGTATTTCCTCCGCCCTTTCCCCCATCTGTCTTCAGCGTCACAGTCTAGACTCAGCTTCGCCAGGATACGATCTTTTGGCTGCTTTCTTCACGGCTATATCCCCAGCGCCTGGAGCAGGGCCAGGTACCTACTTGGTGTTGGGGAACATCTGTTGAGGTTACGGAGGAAGAGGAGTCCATGGAGCCTCACTCCCTCACTCTCCTTCCCTGCACAGGTCTCCCACGTCTTTACCAACTTTGGCAAGGGCATCCGCTATGTGTCTTTTGAGCAGTATGGAAGAGACACGCGTTCCTGGGTGGGGCACTATGGTGCCCTCGTGACCCACTCCAGCGTGAGGGTCAGGATCCGCCTGTCCTAGCTAACCAGCCTGATCCAGCCTTCCGGGACAGACTGCCATCTGCCAGACACCATCGTCGATCAAGGTCGGCTCTGCAGCCACGAGCCGGAGGATGCCCGAGGACAGTGGGGGTCCCGTGTAGCCTGTTCCCGGAATGTTTCCAATGAACCCCACTTGCTGCTGCTTCAGCGTGGTGGCCCCCATGCTATTCGAGAAACCAGGGATCCAACCAGGCTGGTCACTTGCTTCCCCAGCTTCCCAGGGGGAGTGTCAGAGAGTAACTCAGAGACCTGTACGTTACTTGCAAATTTTTTTCTCACATGTGTGGATATCAGTTGACAGACTGAGTCAGAAAACAAAGGCCAAACCAGGATTTCAGACAGAGGAAAGCTGCGGGCAATCGTGGACAGGACTCTTCTCAGCATGCTTTGGGGGCAAGGTGATTGCTGGCAGGGAGCAGAGGTCCTTGAGGGGACCAGCAGCAGCCTCAAAGTGAACTCTTCCTGTTGTTGTGGGGAGTCTCTGGGATTTGGCAGCGGGGCCCGTGCAACCTCCTCCAGCACCACGCCCATCAGCACCTCCCCTCTGGGCCAGGTGCCATTTCTTTCAGAATTTCTGAGGCCAGTTCTGTGCTGACCCCCAAACTGTATCCTCCAGCCCCACCTCCTGCCCCTGCCTCGGGGGCAGCTCGCCTCCTGTCAGGCGACAGCCTCCTTTTCTCCACACTTGAGCCCACTTGGAGATGGACCCCAGGAGCAAGGCATGCTGTGAAGGAAAGCTCTCCTTTCCCCAACTGAGCGCAGCCAACAAGCTCGCTCAATAAAATCGGTGCTAAGCATGACGTGATGGGGGATTTTTGTCTGTAACTGATGCACTTGTTTGCCCCTAGCTTCGATCCTAAAAGGCCTTGTGGGATGTTTCCAATCCTGAGAACTTCAGGTGTGCTAAGTGCCGTGCAAGAAACAGAGGTGGGCTTTGAGAACGCAGACACGGGCTACAAGGGCTCACCCAACAGCTCCTGTGCCCGGTCTCAGCTGTTCTCCCAGCAGCTCTCACGGAGGCACTGTCATCACTGCCATTTAGTCCAGACAGAAACGGGCTCAGAGTTTAAAAGGCCTGCCCAGCGTCACCTGGCCAGGAAACAGGGGAAGCCGGACTTATACCAGACATTGGGTTCCAAAGCCTGATGATACAAGCTCAGCTCCCAAATTTTCAAACCTAACATGGCCAAGCACATGATCGCGTGAGGGCAGCATCACTCTCAGTGCCATTTTCCAAGGGAGGAAACTGAAGCCAGAGGGGGAAGCAAATATACCCAGAGTCACAGAACAAGGAAGAGGTGGAGGCAGGATGTGAACCCAGGTGTGTGTGAGTCTGAGAATAACAGAAGAGCAGCACACACCATTAATCCTTGCAACACCCCTTCGTGGCCAACATTACAATTACTGCCACTTTTCAGATGAGGAAGCTTGACAGCAGGGCTTTCGTGCCCAGGCCCTCAGCCTGCAGGAAGGGGAACTGGGCCTCAGTGCTGCCCACTAACTCCAAAGTTTAAAACAGAGTGGCCACTGCATGTGTTATACACATAAAGCACCCAGTTTAATCTTCACCAAACCCAACAAAGGCGATACTGCAAGTGGAGCTATTTTTTTCTGCAGGAGGAAACTGAGGCCAGAGGGGATGTCGGTGCCCAAGACCACACAGAGGGCAAATACCATGCAAATACCACAAGGGGGTGGGGGGGCGTGTCTGTGTTTATTGCAACCCCTTCCCAGTAGATGGCACTACAGTGTCTCGTCCCAGCAGAAGAGGTCCCTGGCGCCAACATGGAAACCAAGAGTGTTGGGAGAGGGGCGCCTTTTTTCTGACTCACACCCAGGACCACTATGGGTTAAGGGTGGTCCTGATGGAAGAGGCGGCCAGGCTTTGAACCACGACCAGCTACTTCTAGAGTTGTACTAGCTTCCCAAGGACACTGCAGGGGCCCCGAGGGGAAGGTTTTGTTCTGCGGTGATCACCCAACCGGCCGCGTCCCGGGGGAGGTGGGGAGGGAGTCACTTCTTCTTCTGCACGTGGCCACAGTCGTACTTGCCCCGCACGATGGTGAGCTTGACGCCGGGCAGGTCCTGCGTGCGGCCGCCCTGCACGAGCACGATGTGGTGCTCCTGCAGGTTGTGGCCCTCTCCGGGGATGAAGCAGACGGCTTCCCGACCGGTGCTGAGCCGCACGCGGCAGCATTTGCGGTTGGCCGAGTTGGGCTTCTTGGGCTTGCGGATGAACGTGCGCAGGACCACGCCCTTCAGCTGTGGCCGGCCCTCCGTGGGGCCCACTTTCGTAGGCGGATGCTTTGGAGGCCCCCGGCGGTGCATCTGGTTCAGGGTGGCCATGGGACGCGGGGCCCAAGGCCGCGGGGCCAGGGCTAGGCCTGGAGAGACACAACCGGGAGGACCGTGGTTATTATCCCAGCGAACAGATGATAGCATCAGCCACTCCGCTCTGGTGTTCTCGGCACCGTTCCAAGCACTTCGCCAGGGTGCATTTGTTTACGGCTAGGGGTACTCACGGCTGAGAGTAATATAACATTTATGGAGTAACCACCACGTGTCAGGTCCTATTTTAAGCATTTTCTATGAATTAACTCATTTTATTCTGCAAAATGGGCATTAATTTTAATGCTGTTTAAACAACAGTAAACGCAAACAGGCTCCCACTGTGTCCTGTACTGTTCTATGCATCGTACCTACGTTAATTTATGCTGCTCCACAGCGACCCCAAGGGGTATCCCTGGGAGGTGTCACTCCTCCTCCTCCCGTCGCACCCTCTCCTATCCCGGTGAGCAGATCCTATCAACTGAACCTTCACAACTGATCAGAATCCCTTTTCTCCCTCCCCCATGGCATCCACCCTGGTCCTGTCCACCCCCGTCTCCCACTGGACTCTCCTGTCCTCCTTCCTCCTCCTCCCAGGTCTCCCGACTCCTACTGTCTGCTCTCCACTCGAAGCCACAGGGACCCCATGGACACCTGGGTCAGATCACATCCCTCCCCTGCTCAGAGCCCTCTTGTGGCTCCAACTCAGTGAGGGTAAGAGCCGAATTCCCCCCCGGGGGCCCACGAGGCCCCACCACGAGGCCCCACATGGTCTGCGAGCTATTTCTCTGACCTCATCTCCTCACTTGCCCCCTCGTTATCCCTGCTCCAGCCTCAGCCTGTGTCCACAAACACATCAACAGAAAGGAGGGCAGGGTGGCTGCAGTGCAGTGAGAGGAAAGGCAGGTGGGGGAAAAGGGCAGGAATATGGTTCTAAGGTAGATGACAGGATGTGCTCATAGACAGGAAATAGGACATAAAAAGACTCAAACAACTGGATTCTCTTCAACAAACATTCATTGAGCACCTACTGTGTCTTGGCCCCAATCAATAATGGAGATGAAGGTGACTGAGACAACCCTGGGCCATGTCCTCTTGGAGCTCCCAGGCCAGAGCTGTGAGGTGCATCCTCTCTCTGTGTCACTAGCACGAATGCCCTCTCACACCCAAACGTCACACTCCCCTCCAGATTCAGGGCAGGTCCTTGCCCTACAGTCCATTTCCATGTGTCCTTATGCCTCAAGTTACAGCACAATCCTCAGAGAGGACGAGACATTCCTAGAAGTCTCTTCCGACGGGTCTGCCCTTGACCAAGACTGTTCACCTCTCAGTGCCTCAGTGTCCTCATCTGTATGGTGGGCACCACAGTCAGGTCTCCCTCCTGAGCACCGTGTGTGAGAGGCTTCCATGAAATATGCATGTCAAGCCAGCCCAGATTCCCCAAGCAGGGCACAGATCTGTCTTGTCCAGTCCTGTGACCCTTGGTGAATAAAGGTCTGCAGAGTGACTGAGTGGAATATTTCTCATAAGGGCATGGCCCAGGAGAATCATTTGATGTTTGTGGAAGAACTAGGTTCATAAATAAAGTGTCCCTCTCAGTGCCTGGCATGTAGTAGGCTCTTGAAAAACATCAGTTGGGGACTTCCCTGGCGGTCCAGTGGTTGAGACTCCACGCTTCCACTGCAAGGGTGCAAGGGGCGCGGGCTTGATCCCTGATCAGGGAACTAAGATCCCACAAGCCGTGTGGCTCGGCCAAAAAAAAAAAAAGGAAAAGAAAACGTCAGTTGAATGAATGACTTCAAAGTCTTGCTTGGATGTCTCACCCATGGGAAGTATTTAATATCATTTGCTGAAAAAAATAATTGATCCGAACTCCTGATACCCACCAGACGCCTAAATGCTACTTCCTACCTCTTGCCCTTGCAACCCCTGCTCCGCCGAAACTCGGGGCTATGGCAGAGGGACACAAGTCCCAGGGGAAATAACCCTCACGCAGCCTCGTCTCTGCAGCCCAAGCCCCCCATTTACCATGATTTAGGGACGTGCGGAGGCCACGGAGAAGGCCGGACCAGGACATCCCGCCGCCTGCAGCGTCCCTGTGTTAGGGGATAAGAGATTCATTAAGCAGGAGAAGGGGAAAGTGGCCGTAGTCGGGGGAGGGTCCAAATTCTCCCCATCCCACTCTCGGAGCCTTCCGGTTAAATCTAAGGAATTTCCTCTCATTGTAAAACCACAACCCCTAACGCTGCTAACAGAAAATCCCTCCGTAAATTTAGGCTTGCTCTGAATAGGCTCTCCCAACCGCCCCCGCTCACAAACAGAAGGAAACTAGAAACTGAGAGGAGGCCCGGGAAGTTTGGAGGACCCGAGAACTCTGCCGACCTTACCGACCCTAGCCGGGTCCACAGACACGCCGAATGCGGCCTCTAGCACGGTCTAGGGATTATCCCGGCAGGGATTGGCTGGTTCTGCCTCTCCCGTACACTGAAGGGGCGGGGAACAGACGACGATTGGGCAACGACAGTGTCAATCTCGGTCAACTGTTCTCGCTGATCTTTTTTCTTGAGGCATGGGAGAGGGCTCACCCCTTCCAGGCTCTGATTGGCTAGTCCCAAGAATAGCTGCTTTGCAATTAGTCTAAACGCGTAGTGGGCGGGACGAAGAGTGCGTGTCTCTTTGTCCCCCTTCCAAGATGGCTGCGTCCATAATGCGGCGCTTGTGGCCTCTGGTGGCTGCTCAGGGCTTGCGGCTCCGGGGAGGCTGCGTTTGCAACCAGAGCCCAAGGAGAAGTTTCGCTACGGAGAGACGAGACCGGAACCTCCTGTACGAGCACGCGCGTGAGGGCTACAGCGCGCTCCCTCAGCTAGACATGGAGCCGCTGTGCGCATACCCGGAAGAGGCCGCGCGCGCCCTGGAGCTCCGCAAGGGGGACCTGCGGTCGGAGGATCTGCCCGCGATCGTGAGTGCGCTTGCGCCGGCCGGTGGTTGCGAGGCCGGGCCGCTTTGTCTATTGGCTGTTCGTTTTACGGACGAAATGGGCTAGCAAGAAACTCTCCAGCAGGGAGCGGTCTTATCGTAGGAATTTTAGTTCCTTCCCAAGTTTAGCCAACGTGTTGTACTTGGCACCTAACTACGTGCCAGTTAGCCAGAGTGCTAAGGCCCTACTGTCTAGATACCCATGATGCGCTTGCCCCATAAAGCGTGCTGGGTACCCACTTTGCGTTAGGAACTTAACTGTCTGCCAGCGTCCTCTGTGCTTAGACCTCATGCTAGGCTTATCCTAAGGCCACGAAGTAAAATGGGGGACAGGGATGTGAATCAGCGGCGGGGGGTGTGAATCAGCGGTAGGGGCGGGGGTTGCCTCTTGCCTTTGGAGAACGAGAGGTAGAGTTGTGCACCTACCCCACAGGTAGTAGGCAGTTAAATAGTGTTATTTAATGAATGAATGTGCTTTTGAACAGATATGTAGGGA